ATTGTGTTAAGCTAGTACTAAGTCCCTCCCCCATCCACCTTTATTCTTTTCTTCACAATAAGGCTTTCAAATAATTCATGGTTGTACGGCATCAGTGGCAACACTGATCTTGCTGTCTTTGATGATGATGATGATGATGATGGCACTTTTTCTGTTCATACCTGCCGTGCCATTTGAGAGAGATGCTGGTGCCGATATATTGCCAGGGTGTCCAAACATAGGCTGGAGAAGTAGAAAGGGTTGGGTTTGAAACAGAACTTTTGCTCACATGTTTTGCAGTTTAACCAGTGAGCTATCTTGGGTTCGTATGCTTCACTGACAAAATGTAGGAAATTAAAAGTTTATCCTTATGAGTACATTCAAGGTAGCAACGGCTAGAAAAAGCAACGGCACTGTTACAAAGTGCGTTCTAAGACAAGATCTTGAGCGTGCGACCAGCTAATCGGTTCCACTTTTCAAACCTAAATGGTATACAATAATACGGTGGTTCTGTTCGCTGCGCTTTCTGGCTACCGTCAACAAAGACGAGATGTTTAATAGAAATGGAAGCAAGGATATCCTTCGTCGCCCTTTTTACGGAACAAAACACCCTCAGAGCGTTCGCTTAGGGACATCGAGTACGCCGAAGATACTGATCTTCTTGGATCATACCCTTCGGACACGCAAATTATTTCAATAACCTGTTGCACAGTCTGATGTGCGCCTTGAACCTGTCTAGTATAAAGTGATGATGCAAACTTCGGTGGGATCAAACCCAAACTTCATGCATCAGAGACGTGGTCGTTGTGTGAGGATGATCTTTGAAGAATGTTTTGGACCATCGTTTAGCTGTAGTATCAGATCAGCTATGCGAAAGTACGCTGGATGGTTTCCGGGGAATTCCACCTTCAGATCAGCTGGTCACACTCCACGGGTTACGCTGATTGGGCCATGTATGTAGGCTACTGGTTAGGCTAGATAACTGTTTGCCTCCCAGAGCCTGCTTCGCTCAGCTTTGTATCGGACTGAGTCTAACCAGGGACTGTTAGTCTATGACTTGACAACAAAGCATAAAAGTTCTAACTAGTCAGCTCATTGGCATTGGCAACTGCGGTCTCCTCGGATGAGGACCCCGGATCAAGACAACCCACTCTATAGTGACTGGTGGTGGGGGAGATGGCTGAGTGATTAGAGAGCGAATTTACTGGCCAGAAGGTCGGTGTTCGAAGCCGACCTCTGCCTCTCGACTTCCGCTGGCTAGGCTTGGACAACCTGGCAGTATCTCGGCCCTCATGCTTCCCTCGGGTGGCATGGCAGGTAAGCACCGAAAAGGTGCTTCAGCTGAACGAGTGATTCTGATGGCTGTCTCGCAGCCGATGGTGGTCCTGCATCGGAGATCTCACCCTCACTGCATATCACTCGCCTCATGGTACACCGACTGTTATATCTGCTGATTCCCCGGCCTGTGGTATCTGCTGCTGACCCGCTCCAGGGCCTAGCGTCGGAGAGAAAAGACTCAGAAGGGAACACAGTAGCTATATTCCAACAAAGTGGGTGCGAGAGCGCGAGTGCGTGCGAGTGCGAAAAGTACAACGGCCTCAAGCTTTTTATTGGAAGGACACTGTCTGAACTTGGTCCAATGCTGACGCGCACGGTCTGGCTGCGACGTGCTGCATATTGCGGGGGCGTTGTCTGACCTTGATCAACGCTGACTCGCGCTGTCTGGGTTTGATACAAGGCTGTGACGCGTTGCATATTGAGGGAGCGTTGTCTATCTGGTTAACATCTAGCGGACCTGAGAGTCTTGGTAGATTTCGGGCATTCAGTGGTTGCTTTCAGGAAGCTGACCTTCCTGATACCGACAAAACAGAAGCATTCAGCGTCAAAGGACGAATTGAACCCTCGCCTCCAACGAGTAGCTCTCATTACCTTGTTCTCCTTATCCCCGGCGAACAAAGCTGTAGCATCTGGAACAGGTGCACTTCGCCACAGGGTTTATTGGCCGGAAGACAACCGAACTGGACGACTCTTTTTCTCTGGAGGATAATGCAGTTTTTAGGGCCGACTTTCCCCAAGTGGTCCTTATTCTGTGGAGGTCATTGTACCGCAAATGTAGGCACACCAGTCGCCCGGAGGAACCACTTACCACTTTCAATCATGTAGGGGAGAACAGTAAGATGTAACCTATAGACTGTCTTATAATACAGTACTTTGTATTACTAGGCCTCCCTGCCGTTCTTTTCGCTTCTTTTCTGCGACTTTGGTTAAGCCTTGAGAAACGAAGTTCCAGCAGCATAACCTTGGGATCGCTGCAACCTTAAGACTCAACCACCAGATTAAGGTGGAAGCATTTGGTCGGGAGTGAGCGAGATGGCTTACTAGTTGGAGCGCGAATTTACTGACCGGAAGATCCGTGGTTCAAACCCGACCTATGCATCTTGATTCTCCCCGTCTATGTTTGGGCAACCTGACAGTATCCTAGCCCTCGTGCTCCATTCAGGTGGCATGGCAGCTAAGCACTGGGAGGGTGCTACAGCTGGACGGGTTTTTGTTATCTTGTCAGGAGCTGGTCCGCAGAATGGTTGATGTTACATCCTCGGGACTTATGCGTTTCAAATGGTTGTCCCATATATGGAAGGTTTCTGCTGTCATTGATATAGAAGTGAGAAGTAAGAATTTTCTAATGACCTCAACCGTTGGTAAGCAATCCTTTGGGGCCAAATCTGGCAGGCTGAATGGAATTGCTTCAGCGAGATACGGCTGTATGACAAATCTTGATGGGACTACGCCACGTCGTTTCTCTTGATGCTTCACATTTCGCTGAGGAAAATAGCTGCGATGTGCAGATAATTATAAAAGTTATGCTTTCTCGGTAAATTAGCAATAAGTGTGGGTGAACAGGAAGTCGTCAGACTTGTTGTTATCCTGTGGGATCCAACGGATCCTCTACTGAAGTACCTGCTTTTCTGTACTATCACGGGCGATTTACTTTCCGATCGATTGTTTTCCAAAAGCGTCAAAGGAGAGGTATGTGTTACTTTCACATGTACATTCGCCCCACCCTCAGGATTGTACATAGTATGCAAGTGGTCAGTGGATAGCAATCTTCCAGTTGGTCGGAAGAAATGTCACGTGGTACTCATCCAGCACTTACATCCCAAACCTACACTTCTGGATCCCGTGTATTGTACATTTCCAACTGGAAGAAGGACCAGTGGATCCTCATCCAACAGAAACTAACTGCCTAATCTAACCCTTTTTCGGAAGTCCGTCCTCTAACCAGCGTGAGTTTCAAGTACATGCGCCTGACAGGTAGTGCCGCTCTGGTAGAACGCCCACTCGGTTATTAGGGAGATGGTGGTTTTGTTCTACACTGGTATTTTTCTTTTATAGTTCTTACGGTGCGTTTATGATTGTTTGAACGTTATGCTTGTTGGTTAGTTTTTCGTGGCTTTGTTTTCAGAATATCACTCTACAAAGCTGTGGTACTAGCTCTGTAACCTTGGTGGCCGCGTTTTTGATACCTTGTCAAAGGGAGATGTGAAAGGACAACAAACGATCTAGTCTGGAGTCGACGCAAGAGTAGATCCGATCAAAGCAGCGGGAAAGTCACTGACCTTTTTAGACCTGGAGCAGCTGTTCTACCCATGTTACTCGTGGCGCCTCATGAATTCTTAAGGACCAATACAGGTGGAGTTCCAGTCTACTGCTTTACAAGAATCTTACTTCCAACTCTTGCGGATTACATGTCACAGTGGCTGGTACTCAGTGTGCAGTCAGTCCCTTATCCAACTAAGTTAACTTTCACTAGTTAACTTTGGGTCTTCTGATACTGGAAGACGATATCTTTTTCAGAGAGCAGGCGCTTTTGGATTGAGGAATCAGAGCTGCTCCCTCCCCGTAATTTGGGATCATACTCCCGTGAAGTCATGATCACTTTAGGTTGCCTTTAGTGGTCATCACGTGTTTTTGCACAGAAGTCCGATGGTGCTTTAATTTTTGCATTCAGAATCGCCATATTTTTTCGGTTTAAAAGATAATTCTCTTTGTATTGTAGCTTTGGTTGTGACACCCCTCTTCATGTTACCAGCCAGTGATACAGGATTCAGTTATGTCATTGGCCGAGAACGGGAACAACGGGAGTTACTAGCTCTCCTGGGACAGGTAACTAGTGGGGTTGCTTGATTGTTGCCCAAGAATGATCCAGTGAGTTCGTGTATTGTCCTTACCGGCCCATCTGGTTGTGGAAAGTCTGTACTTCTTTCTTCCACATTCACACAACTGCAACGTTTGTACGGACAGAAGTGGATACTTGTCAGTTGCCTAGAGGGTTGCTGTTCACCGACTCACTCAGTTTCTGCGAATGTGTCGTCCAAACTACTTTTCGAACTCATTATACACTCTATCGTCTCAAAATGCACACCTCAGTCCACCGCAACTGCCTACCGCTGTGATGGCCCTGCGGCATTTGTAGAAATATTGTCCGATCTGTTGAGGACAATGAAAAATGCAGATCCCGTTTCACCAGGTTGGTTGTTCGTGGGCATTTCCTTTCTATCCACTACGCAGTCAGTCTTGTACTTGTGTTGGATCAAGCAGAGAAGTTGCGTGATTCCGACCCACTTTTGCTACCCCTCCTAGTACGGCTCGGGTCATTGGTCCAGGATAATCTGAACCTTGTTGACAATAGGATTGATGCTCGTCTAGTCACTTTGCTGATCACTCGCTCACCATGGGAGAAGTTCTCTTCGGGTACATTCCATCTTGAACCTGTTGTCCTTGCAATGAGCAGTTACTCGCGAGATCAAATGACGCAAATTCTATTGTCGCTTCGACCTCCAGAGGCTTCAGAATTACGCTTCAGCAGATTCGTGGACTTATTACTCACTGTCTGCTTCCCCGTCTGTCGCAGCGCTGGTGAAATTATTCACTTAATGCAGGTAAGATTCAGGTGAAATTCGTGAACCTCCGCTTTTCAGGTGAATTGGCCAGCATTTGAAGAACCAGTGGTTAAGGGCCTTGTCGGTCCTGACGATGAGTGGGGTCAGTGGAAGCTAGCTCAGCCTACTTTGAAGCGTTCTCTTGCAACGCTCTACCTGCGTCCACAGTCATCATCCACAGCATGTGCTGATGGTGAGGGCATTATCCCAGCCACTACCCTCGAGTTGCCTTATTTCTCTCGCTTTATGCTTATCGCATCATTTTTGGCCTCATATAACCCCCGTGAAGCAGACAAGAAGTTTCTAGTCAAGGTGAGTAAATGTGTCAATATGTACCATCCATTTCCCTTGCAGAATACGGGAAAACTGTCCACACAACGCAAACGTCGAGAAAAGAAGACCGAAAGAGTGAGTTTTACTGGACCCATGTTTGGGTTTTTGTTGCATATTTTAAATAGGACATGAGTTATAGCGGTTTTTGTTGAATTTTCTCCCTGAATGGTGGGCAAAATTCACGCTATATATAGGTGAGGGACATTGATAAGAAATCCATAGTTTATTGCAACGATTGCTAGATTCATGCTGGAACTAGTCGTGATTGAGATATCACAGTCTGTTAGTAGCTAACTCGGGTAACAGGACAGGATTCTCATTAGGTCAACAAACGCATTAGCTGCTTAAGAGCACCAGGTTTAGTTGCGCATATCATTTTATCGGGACACCCCTGTCAAATCTTCACACAAAATTGTGTTCTCTATGCATCCATCGCATTGCCTGCTGACATACACGGGTAAGACTCGCAAGTTGCCGTCTGTCCGAGCATTTTCGTAGCTGGCTTTTGTGAGTGGCCTATTCTTCGTTTTTCCATTATAAATTCGACTCTGAGGGCTGTTTGCGAACGTGTGCAGGTTTAGGCGCGTTTTGAGCATATGTACATTTTGTCTCTCATTTTGTCTCTCCCTCTCCACTGGAGTGCTTCTTCTTAAAAGTACTCCCCTGTTACTGTTACCTCACCTTTGAACGTATCAGGCGCATTTACTATCGCTTTGTTTAAGACTTTGTTGCAAATGAAGACTATTTTATAGGGTGCTCTCAATTTCCAGCCGTACCCCAAGCTGGCGTGAGCCGTGGCGTTCTGTGGGACCACTGCGCTGGATATTCACAATTTTCTAGACTACTCACGAGTAGTATATTTTTGGTGCATTCGTGGTTACGCTGTGGTCCCACGAGTAATTTTTGTTCTGGTCAGCGTACTCAGCTGTGATGGCTCGAGAAACTCACTATATATGCGTGAAATCACGCCATATCTGCTTGAAAAGCAAGCTGTATTCCTGTTCGCGCAGGTTACGTTTGTTCTCTTACCTGTTGAGTTTCTATGCTTCATGACAGCAGTACGATCGATGGGTACCTGAATAATACAGAACACTAGGGGGTTTTCAATTCAAAACACGTTTTAATGGGTATTTATCAGACTTCGGGTTGTTTAACTCTTGTTGCTAGGTAGTAAGTGGTTGGCCTAGGCAGCTTTTGATGTGTCTTGGGGTTTTCATCTCTAGCTCCTCGTAACGCAATTGAGCTACAGTTGTCATGTTAGCAGCAATGTGCTCAAATATACTTTGTGCGGACTGAATTGTTTCCTTTTCTTCATGAGCAACTCAGTATTCCTTTCGTGATACATATATCGTCGGCTCACAACTAATTCGCATGCATTACACCCGTTTTTGTGCAGACCAATGCTCTTCTTCAGGGACCACGATTATTCCCACTGGATAGACTTTTCGCCATTTTCCATGCCATACTTCGAGACCAAGCCGAACCAACCTTATGCACCAGTCTATTGGTCAGCCAAGTTGCTTGCCTCACCGCTTTGGGATTGCTCTCTGCTGCATCCCCGGCAAATGCGATCGGTGGTTTGTACACAACCGGGATGTTTAGTGGCTCGGCTAGTTTGAACGATGTAGATTCTTTGGCCAACCCGCGATACCGATGTCTACTCAGCTTTGAGGCTGCCAAAACTATTGCTCAGTCGTTGGACTTTGACCTTCCTGCTTACCTGACCGACTTTTGCGGCGTTTGATAGTTTTGCATTTCCATTCGCACCGATGTTAACTCTTTTTTATCCGTTATTTTGTATAACTGAAATTTAGATTCTGACTGTTCTCATGAATATCTATTTTTATTAGTGCAGTTTACTTCTAACCTAAACTGGGCTCATTGTGGCTTTATCATATGAAAATCCTTTAGTGTGGAGAATAGCTACGTGTTAGCGCATGCAGTGGGTTGGGGACATCATGTTCGCCCTCGCAGACAGCACTCTTCTGGCAGTGATACGTCCAGTGCGACAGTATGTCTGGGCACGACTATTGCAGTGTAGGCGCATTCTTTATTCGACAGTACAATAAATTCCGTACTACTACCCCTTTGGTAGGCTTTTGGATGTGTTAACTGAGGAGGAGTACCGTTTGTTCGTCATATGCTCCGATTAATCGTTCTAACTCGAGTTATGCTATTTCGCATTGTGTTGCCTGCCTGACCTTTTCTACTTGAATTCATACTTCAAAATTTACCCAAGGATTGTGGACACCATATGCATTGGTCGTGTGAACAATTATACGGGTTGACTTTGATTATCTGGACGTCTTATGCTGTCTGGCTGTTTTTCATGAGCACTCATTCATGGTAATGTGCCTAACCAATGAATAGCCACTTGTGATAGATATACAATTATTGCGCTGAGAGGCCGGGCGAAGGCAGCCCTGGTTACGGCCAGAAGGGGCACTCGGAAGATGGACTGGACAGTCGCGAAGGAAGCCCTCGCAACGGAGTTCGACACGCCGGCCAACCGCCAGGAGGCTATGAGGCGGTTCAAGACGGCCAGGATGGAACTGGGATGTGACCCAACGGTGTTCTTTGCCTGCAACAGTCACTGAATTGGGCCTTACCGGGACTGGACAGAGTGTCGCGCCAGCAGTTGCTGCCTGACCAGTTTGTCGAAGGTGTGCAGCCGGCGCTTCGTACCCAGTTGCGGTTGGCGAGAGCACCTGGCTAGTTGATTGTGGAGCACCTAGTGCATCTGGGACGGGAGTTGGCTGAGATGCCACAGGTACGTTTCAATCGCAGAAAAACAGGGAGGATTCAACAGTGGAAGACCTGAAGAACAAAGTGGATCAACTCGCCGAATAGCTTGCAGCCGTTAGGACGGAATCGCTACTGAGCAACTATTTCACCAATGTATGCCTGTCAGTCATATGCAGTTGAGACAGGTTTTCGTTTCACAACGCTTGATTCGATGGCGATCTTTTCGCTTGCATGTATGCGACGCCCCATATGGGGTAGAAATGGTGAATAGCAGTTTCGTCTCAACTGTAACTCATGAGCGCTGTACTTCGATATACGGAGTTACTGGCCTGTTCATTCTTGCATCTCCGTACACTCGGTAGTTCAAAACTCAGGACATGCAGTGTTAGAGGCAGTCATGACGTGGCTAAACTTCATGAAAAAGACGACTTTCATCATAAACTGAGGGGCTGCCAAATCGGAGGAGGGGCTTCGCTTTGAGTAAGAGGAGCTTGGCATAGAAATGCCAAGAACTACTAACGTTTATTCCTTAGCATCAAACTCAAGAGTTATTTTCGAAGGTATGGATAGCGCAAAGGCTGGGATGAGCAGTTGGTGGATCGATGCACAAGTAGTCACTCTCCTGGTTTGGTAAGAGGCAGATACAGCATTGACCAACAAAGAGGGATGGACGAGGTGTTAAATCCAATGACACATTCGCTATTAGACATTCCGGTTGAGATATAATTTTCTTCGTACATACATTGACCCTGATAAAAAGCATCCCAGGTGTGAGGTTTGTGGTAGGTAACAGAAACTTATTCATTTTCAAACTACTTAATTCACTCTAGAAGACCTCTCACTCTAACGCCGGGGAAACGCTTTTTGCCATATCGGCAAGGTCACCTTACCGGAGAACACAATGTGAAATGCATGGTTTATTTGCACCATCAGGTTTTGTTTGAATTTGATCAGGTTTTTGGATTTGGTAGTCTCGCGGGTACGGAGATGACAATTCAGCTGTTTTGACCGCTCGCCTTCAACATTGCATCTACCTCCTTGGCGACAGCCATGAAAACGAATTCGTACTGTTCCTGGTGGGATAAAGTAGATAAGGACAACTTTGTAGTACTGATTTACGAGCCCGAGTAGACTGCATTTCATAAAAATCATGATTATACATACACTAAGTTCATATTTGCACGAAAAAATCTAGGCACAAATAAAACGCACCTTGTTCTGCACCATTCCCTGACGTTGGTCACGGATGTGCTCAAGTGAAGCAGCAATATTGATCTCCTTTACGCCTTTCGCTATACGATTTAGTACAAGGTCCAGCAGAATGTATGTACCAGTTCTTCCTGAACCGTCACTGAAAAAAAGGTGAAAATGGTGTTTCAGTCATGAGGTGATTCAACAAATCAACACGACCGTTTGACTGCAGACAGCCTCTTATTATTACATGGTGTGATTTTTCTTCGGCTGAGGCAGTTGGTTTGTCGGTATGGTTTTTTTACGATGAAAGTGAACGTGTCGCCACTTAAAACTACAGAAATCTCTCGTAGTGTCACATCTTAGCTTTGATGATATTGATTTTCGAATGAATGGATCTACAAAACAAGTGCATTCATAGCTTTCATGTCCCCTGGTTTGTTGACAGCATATCATGAAACAGTGCTCCGTCGTTCATCCGTGTCGATCGTTTACGCCCAACTGCGACCAAATCCTATCACAATTTCTGTACCGCTACACTATACGCCACACTGTCTACCGTCCACATTGCGTGTCCTCTACAGAAGCAGTATTTAACGTCGGGAGCAACCTGAAGTCGTGGTATCTCGGTGGGCTAAACTGACAACACCAGGATTACTAGCAGGTTGCAGTGTTACCACAAGTTTGGCCCAAAAGCTTGACAACACAAGTCTTCAGACGGTGATTGTCGGATCACTTTGTGCCCTCAGGCAGTGAGGTCTTACAAGACTTGCAAGCAAAGTAGCAACCAGTGATCGGACGTCGTCTGCTGTGCTGTTCGGATTAACCATTTCGATTCGGGTAGTTACATGACTGGCACTCGACTTGATAGCCTGATTTACCAAAACGACCATCTTCGATTGGATTTCTGAGACCGAGAGTATGCTACAGGCGTTGTAATGGTGAATGTACATTACAGAAAAAGACAACCGTTTGTTGGGACAAGGGGGTCGAATCGCGTCCATAATTTGTAAGCTGCAGTCGTGGATGAACTAAACATGTACTACAGAATTCTGTGTGCATTCAAGCAAAGGCAAGTAGTACAGGTTACTGATTCACATCGCACATCATAACTGTCATTCACAAGCTGCAGGAAGAAAAATGAAACCAAATAGTGGTCTTGATTTTGTAGATGTACTAACTACTACACTGCTGGTTATTCGGTAAAACGCTCGCCGACGAATCCCCCAGTGTGTTTTAACAGGTATTTGGTGATTTAATTCGTCAAATGATGATGATGCACCACTGAATGTCAGCTGTCAGAACCGCCTTAGGCTATTTTCGTTCTCTATCCCAATAACGGATTGCGGATACGGTGCTTGCTCGGTTGCACCGATCTTAACGTCCTGGTTGTGAAACTGTGCGCCTCATAACATGTTCACCCGACTCATCATATCTACAGTAACCATGCTAGGACACTTCCCTATGAAATACAGTAGCTCAACAAGAGTCGTGAGAATTTCCTAAGAAGCTCTACTTGTCGCGATATGAATGTGTAGACCAAGATTATTCACCCGTATTTCATCCTAAGGAACCGAATCAACTTGTACTGGAAATCCGAAAAGCTCTCCGCTTTGATAGCCGATTACCTACGTTGTCGCTTAACAATGGATACAGGTTGGAAACATTTTACCTTCGAAGAACAGGCGGATAGCCAACAGGGTGGTCTGTCTCCAAATGTTCATTTCATCTGCCTGGCACTGTTTGATTGCTGTGAACAGGCTCTATCCAGGCGCACTATGTGAGCTAGGGCCTTCGCGATTTTCTTCGCCATTTGCTGTTCTCTCCCGCTCACCGGTCAAAACGGAACACATCGAAATACTGGACGTTAAGTTGTAGTGATTTAAGATGACTCATCCTTTCATCAAACCAACCAGTGGTGACTTACATACAATGGACGACGATGGGACTCATCAAGCCGCGAAAAGAACGATTGACCTTGCTGAAATAAGGGGTCATGGAAAACAGTGTATGAAAGGTGTGGGATGTGAAACAAGTTTACAGACAAAATTAATCTTCAATGAGTTGACTGCCCACACAGGAGGCAGTTCTCTTGTCCTAAGCTTATTTTCGTTTGGTAGTTGTTTGCTTTGGTTTAACACTAGAAGCAACAGTACAGAAATACCACTATAGGCCCCAATCAGGATCATTTTGCACCTTTGAGAAACTGCGGCGTTTCTGTTTAAAACGTTGTTTCCGTCTGATGGAATCAAACAGCTGTCTAACCACTCGACTATCAATGAATGCCCTCATCAATTGCTGACACGAAGTTGGTGGACTAAACTTTTTTCAACTTAGTCGAAGGGCTCAACTTGATCCCTGCAACAACCAGTTGGTACAGCACTGGATCGGAATCCTTGCACATGCCTTCTATAGCCTGACGGCACAACTCCATGATGGACTGAGTGGAAGCGACAGGGAGGTGGACAGCGTATAACCTGGCAATGAAGTATGAAAACACTAACCAGTAAATTTAGTCGGGTTGACAACTGCCGCCTTCCTGGATAGAGACCCCGGGACTCAACTCACCAATGGTTAATGACATTGACAGAAATTACCCAATCGCGTAGTCGATGGTGCTCATGCGTCAAAGCTATCGCCTTCAATGCGTATCTAACCAGTTCTCCAAGGCTTGGCCGATTCTCTCGAACCCTCTCCGGTGATTGAAACTGTAGCAGCTGGAACCGATGTACCTATGGTACACGGTTTACAGCTAATAAATTGATTGATGGATAATGAACCTCAATATGTTGCTTGTACTCCCAAAGATTCCTTGTGACCAGCCCGTGCATACCATGCCTGTTAAGTATGTTGTTAAAAATTTACACCTGTAGTTGTCGCGAAACAGAATGGGATTTGACTTGGTCTTCCATCTGTCGATGCAGCCGAAAGAACTGTTACATTTTTTTCCATTTACTGACTTGATGCTTCACAACCGGTTCATTGTAAGAATCACCGAAAGAAAACACCTCTTACAGTGTAGCTTTTTCATCCAGAGCCAGGATAAACAATGATTTGTGAGAAGAGTTGCCGATTGCACAATTTAATTCAGGAGATTGTTTATTAGACAGAGGACATTTGGAAATGTGTTGGAATATTGGTAGCTCGCGTGCATTGGCTGGTTGGGTCGTCCAACCAACAGCGCACTGAAGATATCTCCTTGAATGGTGCAAATCAATTGCCAAGCTCGGCGGACAGATCAACAGCCACCTGATCAACTACCAACAGAGGACAGCTGGAGTCTAACTTATTCGGTCACCTCTCTCAAAAAACGCCAAGTACAGTAGCACGCTGTAAGTACAGTCGCTCATACGGTCAATCGACATCCGTAATTCGTTATTGTCCTTATCAGGTTCACTCAGCTTGGAGAGTTGCATCGAGTTTCCATCAGTCTGTGGAATTCATACACACCACAGTAAAACAACGATTTCAATTTGTCAAGAAAATTGTCAGCGGAGTCACTGAATAGACGGAGGGTGTCGAGAACTGACTGGATGCGGGTTTCGTACACAAAGTTTGAGTTTTCAGATTTTCATAACGGAGACGTAGTCGTTTAGGATATGGGATTCTCCCCACTCTCTATGTGTCTTAAATGAGATGACCAAGATATCGGTTTGTTGGCTTACCAGTATCGGACTCGTGGGAGGGTTCAAAGTGCTCAACTTTTCTCAAAACAGTCAAGCACGCTTAACTGACCACGTGAAGATTTCTCCTGGTTACGACTGTAATAATAGCTCGTATAATATGAAGCATAGAACTAAGGATATGGGGGTCCAGCAAGAGTGAGAAGTTAGAAATTGCGTGGTCCATTGCCCCAAGGTTTTCTGTTCTGGACACAAACTTGGCATGCTGGTACGAGGTGGAGTATTGTCAGATTCACCTCACGCAACTCTTCCTCAGTCTCACAAAAGTTTGGAAGATATCATTGCCTTAGCGAATAGATACTCATTTGCAAACTAATTTGGTTTCTCGAGAGACTCACCTGGAACCCAGCTGAATCTCTCGTTTGCGATGTTCTCAGTAACCTTATGAGTAGTACATTATGAAAATATAATTGTCTTGTTGTGTAATCATGATGGGATTTATTTGGGTACCTCGACTTCAACGGAAATAGTTCACTTAGGAAAGCTTTTCATTCATAAAGGGACGTAAATCCTCTGCGACAGTGGACGACGTTAATAATTGTTTTATTGTCCCAGACAGAAGCAAGCGTTCCTAGAGGCAAGTGATCTAATGTAGGCTTCCATTGTATGGTAGGTTTAATCGTATTGCTGTGTAACACTGATTTGGCTCCACTTCTTCCCTAATACAAGCGGCGAAGTGTTCGAAATAATAAAAAGAGCTGGCAAGCGTTATTGTGCTAATTACAGAGGAAGATTCTACATCACTGGGTCGGAGTCCCAGAACTACTTATATTCTGGTGTTCAAGCGATATCTCCGCACATCTTTTCATTCTTTGTAATAATACATGAAGAGACCGGGAGCTGTGCAAGACTTCCCTGTGAATGAATAGTTCTGTTGCGTTTTGGTCTGTCTGCCGGGAGTGGCAGTTGGATTGCAAACGTTCCATCACCAGTCGAGCTGACATTATCAGTGCGGGGTTGAGGGCGTAAATTCTGACTCTGTGTTGCAAACATCAAGTTTCATCTGGATTGTTGGTTCAAACCTCATCCGTTGCATGAAGAATCTCCAATTTTGTGAAGTTGATGAACCAAAAGACAGCGTTGGACTTTGATTCATAAATCTCCTCACCATGCTCAACATAGTACCGAGGTTTTCCCGTGACATCCGGTACAAACTGAGTCCAGACTGCCCACTCTTCCTTTTGTCCATTAGCAAGTGATTGCAATAAGTTTTTTGGTCATGGTAACGAGTGAATCGAGGTATAAACCCGTTGCCCGTTTTCCTTTGTTATTTACGAGCTGCCCCAGCCATATATACAGTGTCGAACCGTCTTGCTGCACAGAATAATCATACCCAGGGGTATGCATCTCAGTCTGAAAGACGTATGCCTCTAAGGGTAATGTGACATATGATGTACACCGTTTCTGCTACTACTGAGTTGGCTAAGTTGCATAAGTTCCGCCCAATCACAAATGCGACCTTGCCATTGTTATGTGCTAAAGCAAGACTGACTCCTGAGCTGGCAAACCGACAAAGAACTGGTAGGGAAGTGGTTGAGACCCCCCATTTGGATTCAGCCATGTCAGTCGCAGTGAAATCAAGGAAATAACTCACCGTCTGAACTCCAACAGTGGTTTGACTTGCGCCTTTAAATTCGAGTCTATCCAGGTCAGGTAGTGGAACTGGGTCACTGTGCGCGTCTCTCCAGTAGCCAAGTTCTTCAGGTAGAATGAACGTACTATGTAGTTTTCACAGGAGCTATGCTCCGATACTAGATGCACCTGATAAACAAAACAATATATTGACATTTTTTAATTGAAATCACTTTTTTCAGATCAAACCTCAAAATCGAGGTGAATGGAAACTGTCGGGTCGTCCAAATCTGGACAAGAACAATGAAAAAGCCAGCTTACGGTTCGAACCACGGGTCACAGTTATCAAATCAAACATCAACTACGAAGATATCTCAGACTGAATCCTTATAAACACACGATTTGTGTTGGTAGTTTGAGGAGATTTGGGATTTTTGTGGGATTTCGTCCTGTAAGTGAAGCCAATCTATGCTGAAAAGCCGAGAAGCCCTGTACAGCTGCTGTTTCATCCTTATTGGGAATCATCAGCAGTGCGCATCTCACGAAACTCCGAAGAGTCTCGAACTCGCGACCTCCCGGCTAGTAGTTTGAACACTTAACCGTTCGGCCACGAGTGGCTGATCAGCAGTGTGATTAACTCGAGACTCTTCGGAGTTTCTGAGATGCGCACTGCTGATGATTCCCAATAAGGATGAAACAGCAGCTGTACAGGGCTTCTCGGCTTTTCAGCATAGATTGGCTTCACTTACAGGACGAAATCCCACAAAAAACACGATTTGTGTATTGAAGATTGAGAGAGGGGTTGCAAACAGTGAATATGTGCTCGCTAACCGAAAAAGATCGTTGTGAGTGGCTTATGAACCCAGGACTCATACACCAGGTTGACTGGAAGTGAGGGCAGAGCGATTACACAGGCTAGTCTAGATTCATACTTTTATTGTATGTTTTGTGCAGTCAAAGTGACTTCCAGGGACGAGCCTCCACTATCTTCCATCAAGTGGTGTGGGAAGATCTATTTGCTGTCTGCAAGTGACTGGTTCCCCCAGATACATGTGAAATGGTGAATACACTTACGCTTATGGTCTTCAACCAGTGTTGGAATCAAACAGTCAGCAAAACGTTCCTGCATTCTAGCAATTCAAACATACCTCGAAACTCCCGTAAGTTTGGATACCTTCATTTGGCCAGTATTGTAAAGAGACGTCCGTCATTTCCGGGGCACTTGTAAGCTCTGCAGGCTGCTTTAGTTCGTTCGTGCGCTCCAGACAGACAATTACAACGCTGCTTTGTTCCCACACCATCTCCCAGAAGTCAGCCAATGACTCCATCAAAGGAGTTGGAGTGGCAATGTAGACCGGATTGCGTGGAGTGTGGTCATACTAGAAAAAAGAGATTTAGAGACAAGGTTGTTCATTAACCCGGAGAGCTGGGTTTCGGTTAAAGAATGTGAACGTGAATTAATCGGTAGAGAATCCCACGCTTCGCGTAGGACTTCAACTCTGTCCAACATGTATTTGTGGAGAAGAATAGGTCATCAGTTTTCATTAAGGAAACTACTCACAAGGTTGCTGAAAACTCTTCGACAGCCCTTCTTGGGGCTCATCAGGTATACGCAGTCCCCGAGTTTCCGTCAACCTTATGTTCAGCTTCATCAACTAATAGAACTTCACTTTCACAACGGACTACTGATGAAATCAAAGAAATAGTTTTGACCAGTTTTATTAAATATCATTGTTTTCCAACCAGTGTGAAGTATTTTAAGTGGATGTAAGATTCACATTGTTGTTTGGAACGTGCGCCTCTTAAATCGTTGAATTTCTAGATAAGTTTGTCTGAAAATTCAAGATACTTGTACGTTTTTCATTACCTGCGAAATTTTTGTGTCGCACCAATGTAGAACTTACTTGCTCATAAGGATAAGCCAGCTAATATGGAAAGCCTCTGGGCTACCACGTTCACCCTTGGGGGGGCTCCGCCACCCGTCACAAAGGGACCGCAGCTTACCGCGCCTTACTGCGCCAAACACCACTGCATTGCGCCTAAGCTTTTCAGCGAAGAGCTTTGGTAGCGATTTTTGACCACTCTTCTGTCTAGACGCGAGAGCCATTGCAATATACCAGCTTACGTGGGATCATAAATTGGACAATTAAAATGACCGCACTTCCCATCGGTCGTCACGTAGTGTCATTAGCCAAGTCGTCCTATTTGCTAGTTTGAGCAGGGCGGTTAGGCGGAAACAAGAAACTGCTGATGCCTCCCTTCTGCCTCTCTCAGACGCTCGTTCTTTTTCTATCCCTTATCCCGGCGACATCTCAATGGGCGCGTTCTTAGGGGCTGTTGGATCCGTCCGCCATGACAGTAGACACTTCGAAATCAATCATCAACCCCCGACGCTCATTTCACATGGCAGCCCTTGCCGTTTGTACTCTGAGACAACCATGAAGGCAGGCTGTTCTTACATGAAGACGGCTTCAAGCTGAAGTGCGCTGTCATTTTGAAATAAGTATTGCAGACCCAAGTACGACCGTCCCAGGTACCGTCCCAACAGCTGACAATTGCGCAACTCCGGTGACCCAGAGACTGCTGCACCTGGTTCTGCTGGGTTTAATATTTTTTTTTAACTCAATGAGTTGGAGCGCCTCTACTTGACTAGCTGCGAGTCAATACTTTTTTTGTGTCGTCGTTTGAGGATATGTGTGGGAGCATCCCACAAACTCATCGATAATTACTGCCTATTCATCGTATCTGCTTACGCCCAAACAAGTTGTAGCTCTGATACTCTCAAAGACAGAGCTCTTTATTGCAGGGGATTAAGAGCTCAGATTTTGTGTGGTTGTCAGATATATGAGTGCGTAAGTAGAATTTGCACCGCTGAGGTTCATTTGCGTGCTTGTCTTCAAGTAGAATCGAGACAGCAGTTATGTGCTGACAATAGGCTATTACTGTCTAGTTTTAACTTCCGAAACAACCACAGCCGATTGGTCACCTGATGTCATCTCCGGCGTGCCAGTCAACCTTCAGCAAAGATAGTCACAGGTGGAATGGGTTCATTACTAGTTATCTGTCATTCTGGAACACCTATATGGATTCAGACCACGTGTTTATACGTTTCTACTTCTTGCTGCGCTTTTCATGGGCGCTCAAGATGCGCACATCTTGCCCGGCCGTTGAGAAGCTCTCGGACCTTGATGTGAAACCAGTTTACCAGAACCACCTATTGAAGTTCATTTCGGACAAAAAGTCGCCTGATGTTGATGTGGAATGTAGTGTCCGAAATTCTGCAAGATGATTCGCCAAATTAGGCCTCTGATGTACGAGATGACCACTGAAAACAACGGTTCGCTTATTTCTAGAAAGGAAAAGAGCATGAATCTTTGGTCTGAGCACTTTTAACAGCAAGTTGGCTCATCATCATCATCGTCGACAATAAAGCATCAGTGTTTCACGCTAATGCTTCGTTGCCGATTTCGATTGCTCAGCCCGAATCTGTACCCGCAACTCAGCCCTGGGGAGTGAATTGGAAACGCCTGATGATTCCTCTCTCGAACGTAACTGAGATGCTGGTCTTGGGGATTTTTCAACCGTTCCCTCTAAAGGGAAGGCGAAATTCTTAGTCATGATTGTCTAACTTATTTGCTTCTGTCTCAGTGAAAGAGACCATCCCAACAAACTGGAGTGAGTCGATGTTGGTGACCTTACAGCGTTCTATCTACCATAAGAACACATGGAGAGGTCAATATTTACAGTTCATCAGCTCATACGCGTTGACTGATAAAGGAGCTATTCTGTAGAGCGGGAGCACTGTACAGCCTATGCCAGCCAGCGTAAGGAGTTTCTGAAAAAAAATCCTTCTGTGGAACGGTCATTGAGAGCGTTTCATTGAAATTCACATTAGAGCCGGAGCCCTGTTTCATTCAGCCAGCAAGGAAGACATACCATTGATTCTTTGGTCCAAAGGCAACAACATTATTGCAAGATATGTTCTGCGTTAAAACTTGCTTATACTGCACCTGGGCTACGTCTCATACCAGTCAACAGGGAATTTTCTTCGTGAAAGCATGAACTTGTGTTGTCCAATCCATCTGCCTTTTATGTAGCCTACGAGTTCTCACGCTGATGGGAAGATGCCTAAATTGGCAGGAGAGGCGGATGCCTGTGTGCCAAAGTGCACAGTCCAAACGCTATCAGGAAAGCTATTGGGTCAAAGATCACATCGTAGTACTGCATTGACAATATCCGGTACATTGGACATTAGTCATCGAATTCACTCGATCAAATCCTTCCGAATCCTATTACGGAACACAACCCCCAGGGTTTTGGCGGTGAGCGAGGCGCTGTTGATTAAATTAAGTCAGACAGAACTATGTGCACAAAAAATCGAAATAAAACGACACTGACCGAAAACTAGCCAGTCAACGTCTTTTCAGCACTACTATTTATATTCTTTATTTATCCAAACTGAATATCTTACATTCGTGACGGAAGAGTGGGGAAAATGTTAACATTTTGGAGCATTTGTCGGTTCCAGTTACTAACCATCAGTTGGGCATACTGTCGGTTTTAGAACTGTCCTTTCGGAGGTATTGTACCTTCGGGTAAAAGGAATTCAGATAGTTGTACGACGCAGATAGTATGTGGTCTGTCCATATATCTATCTATCCATCTATCCCCTGGAGTAGTTCGAAGTGACAAGGAAAGTGAAAAACTGATATCAGTCCATTAGGCTTTCCGCTCAGAATAGTCGACTAAATGATAATGGTGTCCGAAGAGAGTATACTTTGTGTTGTATGCGAGGGGTGAAAAAATCTCAGTTGCTCTACCCAGTTGCTTGAGGACTAGAAAAAACGTCATATACGAAGGATGCACAGGAACACCACTTAACGTTTCGTGTCCAGTGATCCCCACCAAGGCTGTGAACTACTTTCATGTAATGCAGACCGACTGAGCCGAGGTTTTTGTGGATACAACACGAGTTGTCACCAGAAGTGTCAAGGTCATTGGACCGTTGGCTCAAAAATGACTCAATAAGTAACGGGACGGATATGATGTACGGGATGTTTACTTTCGATATCTTGATACACTAATCAGAATCAGGTAGACCTCAATAAGAGGCTTCGTTCACGTACACATCGTGGCCTCCAAATCGGAGCTTCAAGAGCAATATTACTTTGCTCACTTCTGTATGACATGAGATCTGCTCAGTCGATCAGGATTAAGTGGACTGGGATACTGAATTTCCTGTTCCTTTGGGATTTTTTCACAAAACAGTGAATTTGATGGGTGCAGTACAATCGGACAAATCATGGGTTCCCGTTTGTGCGGAAATGGATATTCGATAAAGGATAACACGGTGCTAGGTTCAATAATCGGTTAGTAGATTTTGTGTGTAAGTAACTCAAGATGCCGGTGACTTATTGTGTTGTTTGATTTGGAACAACAATCATCAGGTCTTAATCGGATTCACCCACTTAGGATTCTCATTTACGCGAAGTGGATCCACCTGAATTCGGGGATTATTTTACGCCGAAATGAATATGGTCCAGTTCTCTATGGTACTTTCAACCGAACACATCAGAAATATATCAGGTTAGAAGGTACAAAAAGTACTTTACTCTTCTTTACTTTTGGAAACTGTAACGTAATATAGTGTTAATAAAGTGCACAAGTTTATTCCTGTCATAAATTTTCTTTAACCGGAGGAACTTACCAGTAGACTGGCATTGATATAGTCGTTGTCTGAATTTCTAAGTTTCACGCACGATTGCTCGTCTAGAACAGAACAGTGGATAGCATATTTTTATAATTCCTGGTTCATTATGCTGGATGAATGGAGCCCTGAGGTTCTGCATGACTGACCTATACCACCAGTCCATAAAATCATGTCCCATGGCTGCATTGTCACAAGGGTATCAGTCTAAGCTAAGCTTTTACCTTGGATATTATATATTATTGTTATATTATATATTATATATATTACCTATTATAATTATATTGTTAGATATTATTTTTATATTTATATTAATCTATATTGCTATTTTACAACTTGGGGAGGGTGGCAAGGAATTAGTAGTCCAAGCATTATCTTTGGCGTTATCCTTACTTGGGACGAAAGCAGCTAAGAGGACCTTTTAATGTTGGTTTCATGGTTGTCTTTCCATAACTTCTCAGGTGAAAAAACTGTATATCCTCTGCAAGATTCACAGCGTAACCACTGTATGACAGTAGAACATGGCTTCTACCGGTGGGAAACCGGAAGTGTATTCATTATTCATTTAGCAACAAACGACCAGTATTGGTAAACGTTAACAGTCGACGAAAACGGGCTTCTGAATGTGAACACGTGCTTTTGTTAGGGGATACATCCATCTGCAACAATTTTGGTAGATTGTATATGTTATTACTAGCAATAATGACAATGGTAATTGTCCAACCTTAACATCCTTTCCACGTTCAGCTGCCAAGACATCTGAGGAAAGTGCAGCGCCTGAGATTTGCCAGTTTATACAATCCTAGTTAGGAGCAGCCGAGATGCTGGGGTCGGGGCCCTTTAATCAGTAATTTCGCACCTGAGGATCAAGTTCACCCTAGCCGACACTTAAGCGGAGAACATAGGTTTCTGACAGCGAAAAATTCGTATCTGTCCTTTAAGCATTCGTGCCCAGGTTGTTCAGGTGGAGACCGGAGTTGAAGACGTCTCTGAATGTCTTTGTTCTGCTACCTTGCTGTTTTACCTCCTATTTCAAAGGAGTCTTTCGTAAACTTAAACATGTTGGTAGTATGAGTCAATTTGAACGTCCGAGATAATAGTTGTAGACCAAACCGTTGGGTCACTAGCAGCCACTCAGCAGTATTGGAAGCTGCAACAGCATGAATAATGATTCACACGACGATCGAATTATCCATTCGAGAATTCGTCACTTCAGCAGCCAGTAAACCCGTGACCACGTGATACGAATTTTGTGATTGGGAGTGAGTGAACTCCGGTCTTGCCCAAGTGCGAGTAAATCACTCCTGATCAACCGCTTGTGGCAGGACGGTTGAGTCTTCAATTACTAGTTGGGAGTTCGCGGGTTTGAACCACCCAGGCGTTTCGTGAAGTGCGCGAGTCGCGATGAGAACGATTAACTGCCTATACATACACCAGTTGGTGAAACGGAGAAATAAACCATTTAATCAGTGAACAATTATTGGTCAGCAATAGTCAATATTGGGCGGAAGTAGATACTCTATTAAGGTACTAGTAAAGGTCGTGTAGAGCAGGAAGAAACGGATGGAAGCACACTAACATTGTCGTTGGTCATTCATGTTGGCCATGTGAAATCGATAAATATATAAACAAAACTGCGATAAGGGTTGTCCTCAGTGTTAACCTTGCTGAATTTACTTCATGTGTCCTGGTGCTAAATTTAGTTAGTATGTGGCTTGGAAACGAGACATAATTTGATCAGAATATGCTCACCAAGTTTTGTTGAGCTCGATCGATCGAGTTTGATAATAACGATTGGTGTTTATTTTCGATTTGGAAGAGAATGTCTGTAAATGGTCTTGTTAGAGATTCAATTACTCTTTGTGAATTGAAATCACGTTGGTGTTTCACCAACCGGAGTGGCATCATACGTTCATGGTAGAGTACCGGATCTTCAGGATGTGATTCGATGTTAAGCTCAAAAAGACGGCTTGTTACATCACTACTCACTGGACATGCCACCTCAATTGGTGGCGGGTAGTTCACAATAATATAGATAGAATTACCCGCCGACACTTATATATTCATCTTCTTGGTGAAGTCGCCAGCCGCCACGGAGGCGAAGTTTATCTCGGAAGTCGAAATCGAAATCGTTCAGCTGTAACACCCTTTTGGTGCCCAGCTGTCATGCCACACGAAGGAAGCACAAGGGCTGGGATACTGTCAGGTTGTTCAAGCCTAGACGCGGGAAGTCGAGAAGCAGAGGTCGGGTTCGAACCACGGACCATCCAGTCAGTAAATTCGCGCTCTAACCACTTGGTCCATCTCGGTTTTGGAGCTTGTTTCGGTGGCTTGCGACCTATAAGAGTTTGTTCAGTTCTCACTTGAGCATTCTAGGTCAAACAGAAAAACCGTTTTGAACAAAAATCCAAGCAAATCGCTCAGCCCAATAACTCACATGGAAGTGGCGCAACGATGCGGTTTCTCAGGAGATTTTCGGGTTTCTGTGCACGTACACACGGAGTGGCTTCTTCGGCCGTATAGGCATTAACAGCATTCCAGTCTGCTGTGAGCCTATCCTCATCTTCTAGGTACCCTTCCATATACGACTGAAAAGTGAAAAAATGATAGGTTGTAAATATGCCTTTTTTGTTTCGTGACAGTTCTGATCGGGGGAGGATGTTTGCGTTGACTAAAATACTCTTATTTCGTGTAGATATAAGAAAAAGTATCCTGTCTGTTTAAAGGCGTCAGTACTGTAAAAATGACTGCACTAGCCCCCTAAACAAGGATAGGCTGACGTCTGAAATCTTTGAGTAGTTCGGCTGCAACGGATGGATTTGGTATGCTCTCTCTTTTTATAAGTGGACTTACCAAAATGAGGTGCCCTATGGTCAGGTCGATCCCACACGAAACCGGTTCACTTGACCTAAAATGAAAGATTTATTAAAATAGTTGAAGAAAAATTCACTTGCACGAAAGTTCCATCGGACTCAAACAATTGTTTCGGTCTTTGTAAATTTCGATAATCTAATCGACCAGGTTATTCGACAGAAGTCACTAATTATCATCAGTGCCTGCCGATACACGCGACGCACTATCAGAAAATATACCACAAGTTTGTACATGCCAACGGTGTTGATAACCTTGACTATAAGTTGAATTTTAACTGCTTTGTACATGCAGAACAATATGATGTGAAATTAGGTACCACATGTCTATAGATCACGTCCACATTTTTCCAAGTAGTCTCCTAAATGCAATCTAATAATGAAACTAATCATTTAGCTGTGTTATTCTATCATATATCTGTCTTGCAACCCGAAGAAACCACGCGTACTGCAATATTCTCGGGTCCCTCAAGCCTGATTGGAAGAAGTTGAAAAACACTCGCCTTTTGCTTGCAACTTATCATCGTTTGTTACTTCGAAAAACCTCGTAAGGTGGCGTTCTATAACTGACCATGCAGAGCACAGATTGACCGTAGATCATGCTTGCGACACAAAAAATTACGGCTTAGTCTCCTATGCACTGCATGTGAAAATGTGCGAAGATAAGGTGATAAATTCACCGGATATCGGTGTTCCCAATGTATCCACATCCATGTACTTTTTCAGCCTGAACATCCTCCCCTGCCAGTGATCTTCGCACGCGTTGGGTTGCAACAGAGTGCAAGAAGGTAGTCCAAACTAAGTAAATACTTTCTTCGGAACTAACATTTCAGCTACATCGGTTTGACGGAATATAACAACATATTTCGGGGGTGTTCTGAAGCGTTGTTTTACTCTTTGCATATATCATACGCATGCCAGCATTGGGAGTCTAGTCCATTGTGCTTATCTAAGCGGTGGTCTTCTCGGATCCTCCAGGCAATAGATTTATAATGGTGCACCATCAGTCTTACGTCAGACACACGTACTTAGTCTCATAAATCTGACTGTGGAAAGCATGTTGGTGGGGATATCGATGTCAGAATCGTCTGTTCCCTCGGGAATCAGTGCTATTCATTTCACTGGATACATACAGAGCAAATAGGTGGACCTAATAAAATTTCCTGTGTAAACAAACTGCATTTGAGGATGCTAGAATAACCATACAATAACCAAGTACAATTATGTTTCATATTTATATCCCCAATCGACAACCTAGGTTACATGATAACCGATTAGGCTTACTGATGGAGCATGAATACATCCGTATATGCGTTTAGTTCCTCATCTGGATGTGTTGGAGAGATATGCAATGAAGAGGTTCTGCGCACAACCCACGTTGGTCCGGAACATTCCAACAAACTGGAACGTTCGCGAGTGCAACCCCCGTTGGTCCGGAACATTCCAACAAACTGGAACGTTCGCGAGTGCGTAGCATCGGTCGATTCGACTCGGGGCTTACCACGTTCATTAAATTCTTCCGCATGCAGATGTATAGCAAAGGGGCTTTCTAGCATTACAGACACTCTGGTGCAGAGAACAAATGTGAATAAAACAAGTGCGTGTGAGGCGCATACTGAACTTCATATTGCTGTCAGGCTAGTGTCCACACACTGGCACACTGAGCACTAGGTGCCGTCAAATGATCAGTCAATAGATGAGCCAAGGCCAATGGGCGTGCAGCAGGCTTGACAGCGATCCGGGATGTGATTGGCTGAAGTGCCTGTCACGAAGGCCAAGCATTTTACTGACCAATAGGACAAAGCATTTCGTCACGGCGTCAACATCCCTTGTGAAAGGTGGGTGAGGTATAAGGTGTACCAACCATTAAAGTCAAAATGAAGTCATCAATGGCAGACATGCACTGCAGGTGATACCACAGATGATCTAGCCACACTCGATTGTCGAACTTAGGGCTAAGATGCTAAGTTAACCTCAAATTATGCAAAGCACTGAGATCAGATTCCCATTGACTATGTTGATTATGAGTTATGGGTCCGTTGTGATCATACAGTCTATCATGAATAAAGGCCATTCGAAGGTATGGCACTAAGCTTTTGGGGGCATTGTAGCATACTGAGCCGTATGATTCGAAAAATCTGCTACCAGTATCAGTAGACAGTAACCGTGAAAAACTCGGTTCTCAACAACTTATCACCACTTAGATACCGGGATTTTATTGATCTCAGGTACACGTGGATACCCACAGTCTGGTATCAAATTTGGGCCATAGTGTCCAGTTCCTAACGTTCCTCGCAGTCTTCGGACGGGGCAAAAAAGTTCAGCCGGTAAAGCTAGTTTTTATTGCTTCTATGAGAAAGCTGGTCGTGTAACACCAAAATAGGTCAGCTGATGGAGATATCAAAACAGTTTAGCCTGTTCCCTCGTAAATTTCAGTGGACTGACAAGACTGGCTATACACAAACCCCTTCTTCACAAAAAGCAGACATTTTTGTTAAGTTACCAAATGCTCAACATAAGCTCAGTTCAATTATTCACCGATAACCTGCGCTGTTACACGGTTTACAGATAAATAACTGAACTGAGCTGTACGGTGAACTGCACTGTGATTCTAATTGCCATAGTTATATTAATTAACTATAGAAAGAACATTGCTGCAACAGCCACAGGCTGAAGGCAGCAGCCGTATTGCGCTTCATCATCCCGAGTAACTGATTTCTTCATTCAACAGCTCAGTTAGTGAGCTATCCAAACACAATTATCGAGGTATCGAATAACCGAGACTTCCATTAGAGTACTATAATTTGAGGCCACATCTGATCCAGCCTGTTTCGACACTTACCACGATGAGGTGCTGCTCCGCTGTGATCCGATCGAATCGTGTTGTATCATTCTAAACGGTTGCTTCTGTTTTGCTTCCGGAGAGAAGAGGTTGCTTGACGCGAAGGAGTCTCTCGTTAAGCGGTTCTGAAGAAGACAGAGAGATCGTGTAAATCAAGAAAAGTTTAATATGCATTTGAAACTGGGTTGCTTTAGGCAAGCAAAGCGTCACTGTACCAGCTGATATACGATGGAACTGGTCAATCAAAGGAATCGTCACTCGGGCATGGTCACCTTGTTCATACAAGTACCTATCAACCCTAAAGATGGGCACGATAGCTCTACAGTAACTGGATGGACAAATAGCCAGAAAAATACATTTTGGGACGTCCTAACTCCTTCGATTCACACCAAAATGACGGAGATCTTGTGAAAAGCACCAGTCATCCCAATTAGAAGAGACTAAATTACAAGAAGATAAACGGTGTGTGAAGAGCGGTGTATCGACGTGTATCGACANCCTAACTCCTTCGATTCACACCAAAATGACGGAGATCTTGTGAAAAGCACCAGTCATCCCAATTAGAAGAGACTAAATTACAAGAAGATAAACGGTGTGGGAAGGGCGGTGTATCGACGTGTATCGACAGGGAGTTTTTGGCCACGAGGAGAAAACGATCAAAGTGGTATATATCCCAGTCTGGTAGAGATATATAACTCTCTGCAAACCATAAATGCACAACAGGGAAAGTTTATAAGCGGCACTTTGAAGGGATCGCCAGTTGAAGTGTTATAGGCTTGAATCATCATATACAATGTCCGGCTTTAATTGACGTAATTCCTTCCCGTAGAATTTATTCAGTGACGCTTACCCATGGAGCCTCTGATCAACACCATGCTGGCTCGATATTGGCAATCAACTTACAAACGTTAGTTTACCAAAGGACTTCACTGCACGGTTTAGTGGGTATTTCCTCCTTACTTGCATGCGTTTATGAGGCTTCGGATGAGTATCTACTGTACTCATGTCAATTGTAAGCTAAAATGTATTATCTCTGAATTTTTAGGGGAAAGCTCGAAGCCACCATCTGTCCTCTCTGTTATGTAACTTGGCTTGCTTGCACAATACAAAAATCTCAAAGGTGTTCATGATATAGAGAAATGGACCGGTGATATGCATTGGGTTTGGGGCAAGGAACAAAACGCGTCTTTAAATTATCGAAACAGCCAAAATCACATATCGACGGTGAACAAGAGGCCTTGAGTAATTCTAACTGGAGAAAATGGATAATGCCGGGGAATTCTTTTTAAGAAAATCACGTGAGTTAAGCACGTATTCAGGATAGTATGGGAGCGCAGTCGCCCTGATTATGATCATGAAAAACAAATACCGCATCGTAACGGATCACAGTCAAAACGAAACAACATCAGCTAACAGGTGCGCCACAAAGACCATACACAATGATACATTTGAAAGGAATCGCTAACTGGCCATCCAGCCTAGTCAACGTTCGGTTTTTAACTCACCAATTGGGACTATGCTTCCACAGCCGGTTGAAAGTCTTGTCGAACTGATTAGCCTGGCTTGAGTTTCATATTATCTGTTTTCTATGACTAGTGGTTCGCTCTTTTTGTCCACTTAGGACTGCTGAAAGGTGTAACCACGAGATTGACAAGCAACTTTGAAAATGTTTTAATTCAGTGTGTGCTCTCACTGACAAACATTTGCGTATATCAGGTCGATAAGCACTCTCTCAATTCATTCGGTTTTAGCCCTGTCGTCATGTGGACAAATATGGCCGGCGATCCAAGTAAGTTTGGATATTTTTTGCTTGTATGTGTACCCGAAGACGAGCTACGAAGTCTTCGGTTTCTGAGACCCCTTCCTAAGTGTTTTTTATCAGGCATTCAAAACTTCGAAGCTCTTTTTCATTGGCATTTCCAATACACATGCCATACTACAAACTTACCTGGAAATCTTGAACTTCCGGTTGACCTTTCGATTGTTCCATTGTTGAATTTAACCTTTCGTTTGATTTTTGCCTTCCTTTCTCCGGTAATAATTTCCGGGAAAAATAATTTTTGAATTTTTTCAGTGGATCTTCCTTCTTGCTATCAGTCGAAATGGTTCGACGATTTTTCGGCCCACGTTCCACATCAATAAGCACTGCTTCATTGGCCTTTTGCTCGATCCTGCGTTGACGCATTTTATGACACGCATGTATTGTGTAAACAAGGCCCAGGAGCAGCACGAATCCCAGAACAGAAGCAAATACCGTCAGGGACAGGGAGAAATCCTTCGCTGTATGGCTTGGGGCCACGGGTTTATATAAAGGTGCCTGAAACTAAGAAAAAAAATACAAAATACTTGTCAATCAACCAAGTAGTTTACAACATATTTCATATACTCTCCACACGATATTCCTGAACCCAAGTCTCCACACAAGGATATAAAAACCACATCAATTTTTATACTGAAAAGCATTTACTGCCCCATAAACCATTGTTTTTACAATTTGGTTATGTGTAAGTCACGGTAAGTTCATCTTCAACCTGGGGAACGTGCTTGGTTGACACAACAGATAGCACCAGATCTTGTAAGTCGCTCCGAATCGGTCTAATTTTCAAAACATCCAAATTTCTTTTACATTCATTAACACACACAAGCCATTTAATCTATCTATCTAGCTACATATCTATCTATCTTCTATCTATCTATCTATCTATCTATCTATCTATCTATCTATCTATCTATCTATCTATCTATCTATCTATCTATCTATCTAATCTATCATCTATCTATCTATCTATCTATCTATCTATCTATCTATCTATCTATCTATCTATCTATCTATCTATCTATCTATCTATCTATCTATCTATCTATCTATCTATCTATCTATCTATCTATCTATCTATCTATCTATCTATCTATCTATCTATCTATCTATCTATCTATCTATCTATCTATCTATCTATCTATCTATCTATCTATCTATCTATCTATCTATCTATCTATCTATCTATCTATCTATCTATCTATCTATCTATCTATCTATCTATCTATCTATCTATCTATCTATCTATCTATCTATCTATCTATCTATCTATCTATCTATCTATCTATCTATCTATCTATCTATCTATCTATCTATCTATCTATCTATCTATCTATCTATCTATCTATCTATCTATCTATCTATCTATCTATCTATCTATCTATCTATCTATCTATCTATCTATCTATCTATCTATCTATCTATCTATCTATCTATCTATCTATCTATCTATCTATCTATCTATCTATCTATCTATCTATCTATCTATCTATCTATCTATCTATCTATCTATCTATCTATCTATCTATCTATCTATCTATCTATCTATCTATCTATCTATCTATCTATCTATCTATCTATCTATCTATCTATCTATCTATCTATCTATCTATCTATCTATCTATCTATCTATCTATCTATCTATCTATCTATCTATCTATCTATCTATCTATCTATCTATCTATCTATCTATCTATCTATCTATCTATCTATCTATCTATCTATCTATCTATCTATCTATCTATCTATCTATCTATCTATCTATCTATCTATCTATCTATCTATCTATCTATCTATCTATCTATCTATCTATCTATCTATCTATCTATCTATCTATCTATCTACGCTCGCACAGCGCTAAAAAAGAGCACTTGAAATCGCTGTACAGATGTATGCACACATCACCGAGTGAATAATCCATTAACCGGAGTAAGCTAACGGACAAATTTATAGCCTGCCATAGTGCAAAATCGATCAGTCATGAAGCAGTGTCTATAGGATATTAGCGTTCACCGTAAATGAGACGTGCATCAAAGCCGTAAACGTAAACTCATAGCACGAAATTTGGTCTGTTTGTCACTGTAACGTTTTGCGAGTTTACTTCAGGGATCAATTCACATCAACAAAACTTCCAGTCTCCTCATTACTAACGCATTCCAAGCGTGTCTCGCGACTGCATGCTTGTGTCAACGAAACAAAATTTTTCTACATCAAATAATTCGAATACACATGTTTAGGGCGGCCTTGTTCTGCGTTCTTCCGTGTAGGTGATGACGGCAGTCTGAAGCTTTTGTTAGACTGGTAAGAATTCGCAATTGTCTAAAAGTTCGGCGTTTCCGGATTGGTATAAGGCTTTCTTCAGTTTTTGGATATAATTACTGCCAAAGACGCTCAAATAGTTGAGCTGTACTAATGCACAAAATTTAAGTGGGAGCAATCATACTTGCCAGATTTGTTGGGCAAATTATGGGAGAATTCTTTAATTTCAAGCTTCCACATGAATCACTGTGTGAATAATCGGATAGTGGTGTAAAATGTGGTGAATAAGGAACCACCTTTTGGCATCGGTTGTTGTTGTTAAATTCATTTCCGAGAAGACATACTACAGAGACGCTTGTTATTGGCCGGATCCATTCCCCGGGAAATAAGTACCCCGGGGTGGTATGTTAACGGGAACCAATTAGACCAGTTATTCCAGATCCCAGAAACACATTTTCACCGGCCTCATTTAGATTGTTTGTTTGAATATAATGTAAACTGTCAATCTCCCGAGTTTGCTTGTTGGTGAAAATCCGTTCCAACCATGCATGGTCTCACCGCACCATCTTACTATACTAGCATCCTACTTCATCTAATTACAGGAGTGCACGCCACGGGGTCATAGAGCAATATTAATTATCAACATCCCTGAGGCAGACAGTGTACTTCTTCACCTTCCATAAACGGAATGAAGTGAACTCACAAGTGTGTGTGTGTGTGCCTGAATAGGTCGATGGGCTTACAGGGACTGCACGCTCTACACACCGTGCGGAAACCCGTGCCTCTTAATTAGGGAAAATGTTTGATTCAGCAGATAACTGGTCAGTTTTGGGCGTCAATTAAAATGGCCAATACTTAAATGAAGAAACCATGGTGGATTCAGCTAACTGTATGACCTAATCAGTAGTTCCACTCTGGGATGAGTATAAATTGATTGCCTGAATAAGAGACAGCACACACCCATCCTAACTGTGATAGCACCATTGACAGTATCATCACCGTCCACAGCAGTAAAAACCGCGTAGACATTGTACAGTGGTTATGGCTGCCACTCCTCGATGATCCGGAGGTGGATAGCTGTGCACTGCCGGGAGAAGATCATACTATTGGGGTATCAATGGGTGGCTGCAGATTACCCTTGCATAATGCCATACTGAGAGTGGTCCTGTATTTCCCTGTAGCTGAAATGAATGCTGAAACCAATGTTAGTCATTGTACACTCGAATTTAGACCGGCTGACTGATAGAGTCAGGCCTATGCGCTTTCGCCGGCCAATCCATTTCTATTGCGTCTACATCGGTGCGAGCAGTCTGGATGCACCACCGTATTTAGTTCCCGGAAAGCCGCTTGAAGCTTTCTGCTGCATGCATGTGTTCAGTGGTTTGGCCACTGGCGACTGAACGTTTGTCCATTCGCTAACATGTTAAATTCGAATAATTCTGCCCAATATAGCTGAACACTCAAAGGTGGGACGACGGGATCAGATAAAGGGCAAGGCGCCCTTATTGGATGTTCACTCTATATTCTAAACGATTCTTCACCTAGCTGGGCTAAAATGCTATGGAACTTCATTTCGAAAATTTTGGTCTACTCCTCAGTTCGTTTTCAAAATGCAAGCTGAGGGAGTTGTAACTAAAACTTCTACAAGTTTACAGAGATTTCATGTGGAATCACTTTTTTGTATGGAGTTGCTAGCTTGCCCCCAAGGGGACCAAAGTATATTTACAACGGCTATGGTAGAGAATGAATCATACCAAAATAATGGTTTCCTACGTCCATGGAAGTGCTTTTGAGAATAATAGTTCCATATTTACACCCCAGACGTGTGTACTTAAAAGTTTATAAAATGCGTTCTACCAGATGTTTGGCGAATTCACCCATATCAAGAGTAACCAAGTGTATTCAGAGCAGTTTAACGGAGTACATTCCATTCCCATGGCCTGGCTCACCCACTCGAGTAATAATGGCGCCAACTTTTCGCTACTGATTAAGCACCAGTAGTACGTTTTGAATGAAGATGCATTTACCGAAGTATTGGTTGCAATTCAGTTGAAGAAAGTATTCATCACGATTCAAGTAAAACAACCCGGGAAAGGTTCCAGGGCATATCGTTTTATTCTGTTCTAAAAGGATCCGGGATCTACAGAAATGTTCAAAACCACATTCATGTGTACACGAGAGTATTTGTGGAAATTTTCACTTTGTTTAGAATATAGAATGGGACTAATATACGGATGTCCACTATCTACCTTTGGCAGGTATGATAGTCAAGACAAAATATTTTCACAATCTGGGCTATCTTAGTGGACTCCCCTATTGTCCGTGTGAAGTGCACTTGTAGAACGTCATATGTACTATGCTTAGTTCATACACTAGGGATGAAAAATTGATCGGAAGCTGTACTGTGTGTGTTATTTTGCCAGGAGATTGGTGGATACAGGCTAGTCGGTAAAAATGTAATGCTTAACGGACCACAAAGAATATTCTAGAATAAGCAACAGGGCGTTGTTCTTTGGGGGATTCAAATGAAAGAAAGACGTTGGCACGACACTAATCTCCATAACTAGTGGCGGAACTCCATTGACAAGAATGATCCCAGAGTTTGGTCTCATTCTAACGCAGCAAAGTGGATTTTATCATAACTGTGTGAAGCATCGTCAAGCTCACCAAAAGAAAAGAACAACGGGTTTTCGAAAAACATGCCGATTTGTATAACCTGTATTTGGCGGCCTTTGTTCACATTTGGTCACAAAGTATAATTGGACTGATACTCCCTTTGAGATTTAGCAGTCAGGCATAAGTAGACACGCGCGTACAGTTGACTTTAAGCCATATCTCCTCGCACGTCATCATATGTAGTTGTGCAAGGCACGATCTTTGCCTAAGTAGCTGAATACTAGGACACACAATAACAAATTATTAGTTGATGTACATAACTAACCAGAACTACTCTTAGTGTAAGAAGCGATCATTCAAACAAGGACAAATACACCTAAGCCTGAGCATGTTTGCCTATGCATACCTGGTGACTAAGGTATTTTCAAGCTACGTTGGTGGAGTAGTGGTCACATGTACGCTTACTATATCGGACCTCAGGAGTCGAGGTGTCTCCGTGGTCAAAGATATCCACCGTCGATCAGCTCTAATGAGGTTAAAGCTCCGGTTAAGTGATCGCATGCTTCATCGAACAAGAAAAGATAATCCTTTCGAGACAGAACTGTATCAGGCCATTTAAAAAAACCAGAATTTTCGACAGCTTATGCAGAAAAACCAAACCATTCTTCATTCGGGCTTATGTCCTGGAAATGAAACCACTCCACTCTGAAAAGCCAGAAAGTGCTGTACAACTGTTTTGTCCTCATCAGAAATCATCAGCACTGTGCATCTCAGGAAACTCCAGGGTGTCTTGAACTCGCCACCATCCGATTGATAGTTTTAGCACCCCAACGTTCAGAAAAACCAAACCATTCTTCATTCGGGCTTATGTCCTGGAAATGAAACCACTCCACTCTGAAAAGCCAGAAAGTGCTGTACAACTGTTTTGTCCTCATCAGAAATCATCAGCACTGTGCATCTCAGGAAACTCCAGGGTGTCTTGAACTCGCCACCATCCGATTGATAGTTTTAGCACCCCAACGTTTTGCCACGAGCGGTTGATCAGCAGTGTCACTGACTGGTAGTTAGACATTATACAGTGCCACTACACCTTCAATCATGAAATGCAGATCAAGAAGCCACATTTTGACTTGCTCGTTCTGTGATGGCCTCTCACATGGACGGTTCAGTGTCCGGTGAACTTTACTCCCTTTTCTGAACTTTCAATTGATTGTTGACTAGGATGTCGTAGGTTTAAAACTCCCTCAAGTTTTGCGAGTTGACAACGAGGAGGAAATAGCTGAACAGTGCTTCTTTACTCTTTAGGATAGATTGTTTTCAGTGACAAGATGAAATTCCGATTGAAAAATCAGAAAATCCTGTTATACTACTAATAAATCAAATTATCTTGGAGCACGCTCTCGTGTCTGTACCCTTCCAAACCAATCAGAACAGTTAAATAGGCTAGAGGGCAAGTAGTGTGAATAGTACCGAAGCACCACGCATAGAGTTCATTTCATTAGTCACGTGAAAGGAACACAGCAGAAAAACGAACCGTACTTTTGTAGGCGTGTGCTGGCCCTTAACTCCTGCGGTCTTAAGAAATAAGCGGGAGGCGCAACCGAAATAAGCTCTTGCCTTAGCGATAAACTGCGCGGCTATATTTTGACTACATGGAAACCCAAGTTTGTCCTTCTATGCTCAGTGAAGGGTTTGACTTCTGTTAGTCTCAGATAACATGCGCTCAACAGAATCCGCAATCAGTAGCTGAATGAATTCTTGAAGTTTGCCGTCGTAATAATGAACATCACCAAATCCATCGCTAAGAAGGATGAAATAGTTCGCCATTTCTGATGAAGACGACCACCTGTGAACTGTGGGACGCTTTTGCTATTTCAATGCTCTCACCCCAAAAATCCTTCCCACAAACATGCGTAAGCCACTGGGGATGGGAAGCACATAATTATTTGCAGAGAATCAGGAGGAATGAAGGAGAATGTTACAGGGTATTGTGCAGCTTGCGTGAGCAGCCTAGGTTGCCGGCCAATTTCAGACAAATCATTATATATTTCTGTCCATTCCGGCAAGAAACCTAAGGGCGAAATCCTACCGTTTTTTCTGATCTCATTACTTGCAAGGAGAGTTCATCGCTGGCGGGCACATAAATCCCGTAGGGTATTTAAAAATTCGGATAAATGATGGGTTTGTTGGGTTCGGAAAAAAACGGATAATTAACTGACAAAGCGAAAAAACATTTTGGACAAAATTTGTTAAAAATATCCTAGCCTTGCTGTAAATCACTTGAATCTTGACAGGATAGAAATTATGGTCACCTTCAAGTTTCAACTTTTAAATCAGCGTATCAGGTAACGAAAAATTTAAACTACTATCTAATGACAGCCTATCTTTCGACTGTAACTGCACGAATACGAACGAGACAGTTGAATAACTTTTGAGGTGAGAAATTCATAATGAAAAATTCAGGCAATGAATATTCGTGAAAAAATATCCAAAGTGAGGAATTAGAGACAAATGTAGAGTGGTGAAACTTGGTTAGGGCTTCTAGTTTTTTGCCTAATTCGAAAACCGCACAACGTATAGTTGGTTTTACTTACTCCTCTGCCGAAACCGACGTCTTCAATAACATAGCCATTGAAGTTTCCTTCACCTCGTCCTTGAAAAATAGGAGGGTTTTATTGACGAAAACAATTACGCAGGGTATATTCGTAAACCGAAATTTTACAAGTGTGTTGGACAAGGCAGAAAAATATGTTACTTGGGGCCGCTCTATGCTGCATTTGGGAGCGCAATAACACTGAAATAATGAAATAGAAGGCCACTTCCCAATGGAAGAATCTGCCGTTGAATAAAATGGATGTCTTTATCAAGCGTGTGAGAGCAGATGGTCCAGTAAGTGGTCGAAATATCTCGCTTGATCAATTCTACTGTGACCATTTGCACAAGGTCCACACATGCTACTCCAAACAGAATAAAATTATCAAATTATATTCATTTTTTAACCAATTTGGTTTTGAGAAAAACTCGTATGGAACCCAGCGGAATTCTTCATTTTTTAACGATGCTTAAGCTTAAAAAGATCATTAAAAATAAAAAAAGATTTAGCCGGATTCCAGGTGGGTCTTCGGCAAAATCAAATTGGTTTGCCAATGAATATATTTCGCTAATTTAGTGGAATGTGAGTTCAAGTAGAACATAAAGTTGATGGAAACTCGGAGACTGCGCCTACGTGATGATCCTCAAGAAGGGCAAGACCGGCCGTGGGCTGTCGAAGAATTTTCAGCAGCCTTACGAGTAGTGTATTCCGTCTATGAAAATAGAATATATTGGTAATACCGTAGGACATACAGACACTCGAGATTACGTAATGATTGTTGTTCCGCGTGGGTTTGAATTATTTCTAAAGACATGGATCAAAAAAGTTAGTGGACAGTCCTGCTAATTGCATTTCATGCAGGATAAAATTCTCCACTATTTCATCTAAAAAGTTGCATATGCCTCATACATACTAGTAAGCCTACACGCAATGTTGTGTGGTAAGAAACTTCGGTAGGCTATATCAACTGCCTTTTGATGTTGTCGTTCACTTGAATGGAGACTCAAATCTAATAAACCCGTAGTACCCAACTATTCCCAGTGAGAAACAATATGGCTTCAAGACTTCTTTGATCACATTAAGTGATGTAGTGTTGACTGCTGCTTTGGAGACATGATGAAAACGAGCCGTTTACGACTGCTCGGGTTCCATATAGATAGAAATATTATTTCTGCGTGACCTTTACGAGAACTTCACATCTTTGGTTAGAATGACCCTGTTTGCCTTTGAAGAAGATGAACGCATATAAAATCTCATTGGGGTATGCAGTCCTGTCTCAGCCACAGATTTTTGGTGCAATAACCACACGTTTCGGCCAGCTTGGATGAACAGGATTCGCTATTTCCTTATTGAGGAAACAGGCTCATCTTTGAATAATCTACTGTATTTATAATGAAGTAACACTGTGGTCAGTTCTGGTTATTCTCTCCCTCAAAGATAACGATTTGCGCATCCCTTCTAAAGACGATTAAAAGAAGCAGATGTAAAGTAATAAACGTAAGTTTGTGAACGCTAAACGTAATATCTGACAGACTTACTCAGTGCATCGACCATTGACTCCGCGTCAACTCCTCTTACTCTCGGTACTTGGAAATGAAGGACTATTCCGGTTCGGTCGTGACTTTTTTTGAAAAAAAGTAAAAACAGGGGTTGTCTAGGATGCATATCAATCGAATTTGCTATAGTTTTTCTGGAATTTATTTGAATGACGCTTTTATGAATTAGAAAATTGTAATGGAAAGAAGGAGTTTCCCTCGCAGGCGTAAAAAGTTTCATTCAGTATTACGGATGAGAATGAAGAAGGTCGTGATTTTGTTTATAATTTGAAAATGCTCTGCAGATATCTTGCAAGTGAAAGTGAGAAAACAAGGAGTCCATCGTCAGCACTATCATCCGTGGCTTGTTGGCCCTCGTCGTACGCCAAATTCGCTCACTTTAGTTCATCCGTCAGGTCGTTGTCATTGAATAGAAAATAGTATATGTTATTAAATGATATCATTGGCTTGTATTAAAATATGACAGAAAACTGATCAACACTCAATTGCCTTTTATAATACTGAGCAGAAGCTTCTCCTTCCATTTTTTCAAAAACTAAAAGGGCCGTTATAGAAGCTACGTCCCTCAAAAATAACTATCCCGCGGTGCTCACGTTTGGCATCATCCCTTCCCTACCTTAGTGAGTTGCTATTTCTGGAAACTATCTATGGGCACCTCAAGGCAATCCATACACTTTTAGAGTGCACGGCTTCAAAACCTTTGTTTGGGTACTTTCATCCTGTTTATCAAAATTATGGGCTTTTCGCTCAACGTTTTGACATAAACTGCACTGGATGCGTCAAACTTGCCACTGTGGTGTTTTGGACTGTTGAAAATCAGCTATGATCCCTTTGCGCTAATGCACTGATCACAATTGCGCCAAGTCAAAACACTACTTGATGGCCAATAGGCTTTTTGTGTCTCAAACTTTTGCAGCCCTACCATACGGATGTGAGTTAGAACAACACTATTGGATCTGAATAGTGAAATGAAGCGCTAACAACTTTGTATGTCTGGTCTCAGTGAACATGAGGTTTCGTTTTGCGCCAATCATATGCATCCAATTCACAGGCTTCTGCTAGCTTCCCGGAAGTTTGAAAATAAACAGTTTCTCTTCTGGATTTCCTCTACTGCCCCGTACATTGTCGCCATAATGTTACACATAGTAAACTTCGGACAAAAACCGAATTTCCTCAGTTTCATGTAGCTTGTGCATCAAATCGATGGGCGTTTTATTCAGCGATTCATTTATTAATGCTAATGCCTTCTTATCTCCGACAGCTGACAAGTCAATAGTTTTGATTGAAGTTTTCTTTTCAAGTGCGTACCTCAAACTGGCCAGTTCCAGCCATAAGGAAAGACCGATTCAGTTTCGAAAGACAAAACATTTTCACATCCTCGTACTTCAAGCTGATGAAGATATAAGCCGCCATTCGTACTGAATGAAGAGTCAACCTCCCGAAATGGAATTTTTGTGGCTTTGGTCAAGTGTGTTCAGAGGAGAGTAACAAAAATAAATTTAACTCTGGAAAAACTATGGAAATGTTCTCTCAGCTAATCTACTATGATTTGTGTGTTTCAATGCCCTCAAAAGAATTTCTCGGGGCAAAATTTGCATGTCTGTTTGACCCACAGTACAAACAATGGCCGGGGAACGAGTTGTGTCCTGATTCAACAATGTATGTGTGCTCTGGTGGCCAACTTATTGAGGGGTATTTTTATCATTGTTGGATGACTCATCGAGATGAATGAAGTTTGCCTCAAGCATTCCGGATTCACAGATGCCTAACCGGACTGAAAAATCGGACTTCCTCTCGTGCCTTCAGGAAATAAGTATTGATTGCGTCGTTGGGGCGTGCCGCACGACCAACGAATATTTACTCAACCGTAACATCCGAGTGTTCAGGCATAAAATAACGGAGAACGCGCTATCGTGCGTGAAATTTAATACCACGCTATTCTTTTTAGTGCATCTGTTTAGTACCTTACTGTGAGGCTAAGTGAAGTTCGGTTCGGTCGCTCGCTTAGAAGTACATTTTTAAATGATCAGATTAGAGGGGCCACGCCCATTTTGGGACGGCCTTATAGTCGCTAACTGAAGTGGTGATGGTACTAAGCAAGACAATTTTGATCTTGTTCGGAATGTTCTCAGTATTTTCGGAATTCTGAGTAGGATTTTGCGCCATTCAGCATGTAGGTTATTCCTTAATTTGCCTACAAAGCAAGACAAATCTTGTTCGGAATGTTCTCAGTATTTTCGGAATTCTGAGTAGGATTTTGCGCCATTCAGCATGTAGGTTATTCCTTAATTTAATTTG